AGTCTCAGTCAGTGTACCCTAGATTTGTCATTGTGATGTAATGTCATGTTCGATGTACCGCCTCCGTTACCCGCCTGTTAGTCGAATAAACCCCCGTTTGTCCTGATACACGGCTCCGCTTGCCTGCTTGACCGCCAGCTCGCTACCCGGACGTGACATAGTGCATTTTGAATGTGAAATGAACTGCTTTGCCAAGCTGAACATCGGTTAGGAGAATTGTGTGAAGAGTTTTGCAAAAGAGACCTAAGTATTGAGAAATGTGTCCTAGTGTCTGTAAAAAACTGTAACAGTTTTGAAAATAGTATGTAAGCACGTGCAAAATGTCCTGTATGTACAAAGATTTTTGGCAGTTGTTGTGTCTGAGTGAGAAAAGTCATGAAATTCATGAAATTTGAGAGATGTAGTCATCAGAGTCATCAATGATAATTGATCCTCAGTTTAGCCCACATAGACTTCTGTTGTGCTCACTGTGTGAAGAGTTTTGCAAAAGTGACTTAAGTATTGAGAAATGTGTCCTAGCGTCTGTAAAAAACTGTAAGATGACATTTAATTTATGTATAATCATAGTAGCTGGATAGACAGAATTCTTTAAACACTTACCGGCACTTCAACAGGAACTTCAGAAGGATAAGTTGCTTCTCTCCCATACATTAAAAGAAATGGCGTGTATTTGGTTGTAGTGTGGACCTTAGACCTCAAAGAAAACAGTGTAGCATCCAGATACACGTCCCAGTCATTCTGTTGACTGCTGACTCATTTTCTGTGGGCTCAAAATGTAGACATAAGAAAACACACACAATAGTGACAATGTTTTAAAAGCTATTGAAATGTTACATACAAATAAAGCATACCTTTTTATGTTGTCATTTGTCTTTTCATCAAGGCCATTTACCTGTGGGTGATACGCTGCTGTGACACTCCTATTAATTTTCAGTAAGCTGCAAAGACTAGAGTTGAGCTTCAAAGAATAAAAGAAAATAGTTTCTTAAACACAATCACGCAAAATCTTTGGCTTGGCAGCCACTTGGCACACTGTGGCAAATGGTTGACCTTTACTTATGGAAAAGTAAACTTAACACTTACTTTGTTCACAAATTCTCTTCCTTGATCTGACAAAATTCTTTTTGGGCCGCTATGTCTATACAGTATATCATTAAGCACAACTGTTGAGCTACCTAAGCTGCACATTTACTTTTTAATGGAAAAGCCTCGACCCATTTAGAAAAGTAGTCGGTTGCAGTGAGAATGTACTGGAAGCCACTAGACGTTTTTGGAAGAGGTCCAGTTAGATCGATTCCAATTAGCTCCCAGACACCAGACATCTGTCAATGAAAAAAGAATCACATTTGTATAATGTATGCATTACTATTTTCTACTAAAATGCTATTGATTTACTTTAATACACTGCAGTGATTGCACAGCAGCCAAAGGTTTTCCAACTTTTTGGCACTGGTCACAAGCCAGGACCTTGAAGATATTACAGGTGAAAGCCGAAAAATTAGAATATTGTGCAAAAGTTCATTTATTTCAGTAATTCAACTTAAAAGGTGAAACTAATATATGATATAGACTCATTACATGCAAAGCGAGATATTTCAAGCCTTTATTTGTTATATTGATTATGATTATATATTGATTATGGCTTCATATATTAGTTTCACCTGTATATGTTCTTATTTATAGAGTCTACATAAATATCCAACATTCTTATTTAATTAGACTACATAATGACATATTGTCACACCGGGTAGATAAGGGAGACAAGGATCCAGAAGTACGGGGTAACAGAGCTTTAATAAGGCAAACAAGTCCAGAGACGGCAAGCGGTAATCGTGGTCGTAAAACGGGAGTGAGGGTTGAAAGCCGATGAGTCAGTCCAACAGGCACACACAAGACTGGGGAACAGGCGGGCTGGACGACAGGGGGAGCAGGGCTCAGCAGGACAGGTGGGTCAAGGACGGGAGCTGGACTAAGGAGGCAAGGAACAAGAGGTAAGGATTTTACTATAGGCAGACAGGCAAGGGATGGGAGCAAAGGGAGACAGAAGACAGAATAACGCTCAGTAAGGCTGTTCATTAGCGCAATTCTTCGCGGTTTGTTTGCGAGAGGTGCTCTCCTTATATTGAGGAGGTAATCAGTCCCTGATGCCCTGCACCTGTCCGATCTGCCCCCGTGGGCGTGACACATATATTCTATAACAAAAAATCATTCTAGCTACAGTGTTTATTACTGCATGTCATCCTGAAATCTGGGTCAGGTCTTCAGGAGAATTACTTGACTTCTCCATTGGTTTGGCTCATTTCTTGAAACAGAAATGACATTCTCAAAATAACATGGACAAATCTCCAAACCACCTTGCAATTGTTCACAACAGAATGGCATTTCTCATTGATTTCATCAAATTGCAAATGCCTTAGTACATGTCTCAAGTGTCTCAGTGCATCTTTGCA